ATCATTTTTAAAGCAATGGCCAAAAAATCTCTAAGTTTACAATGCATCATTTTCAATTCAAAAATACACATATCAATCACACAAAAAACAAAATACAATTAAGCAATTAAAATTAAGAAAAATGAAATTGAAATGAAAACTGAAAATCTTAGGTAAGTTAGATTGAAATTTGAAAGTATAAAAGACATCGGTCAGAGCTAATTTAATATTTAAAAAGTGATATTAATTTTATTTTTTAATAATGACTTTATGGATAATTCCTTTTCTTTCCCCCATAATTAGAGAGAGCCTACTGAAAAAAAAATTACAAAGATACAAGAGTTCTATAGTTATAAAAAATAAATAAATCTCCATTAAACTAATTATTGAGAAGGAGACTAGTTAAAGAAGATAATATCTTTCTCTATGCCAAGATCTTGTTTCATATATCGATCGTTACATTTGTTGTCAGACATAATTTTAGATAATTTTAAATACATATAATTATAAATTTTGCTAGATAATATAAAAGTTAGTGTGAAGTTAAATATAAAAATAAATTTATATATCTATCTATCTATCTGGGTTATGCAATAACGCACTGATTCAATATCCCAAACGAATCGATGACTTCGGGTTTAATAACGTAGAGACTGATGCATTATCACGGTCTTTTTCTATCACTTTCAGCTGTTTTACTTCTATTTGATTGAATGCACTATAAACCAATACACGTGTTTAAAGGATTTTTCAATTTAGCAAGAAAAATGATCAACTAACTTTAATAAATACTATTGACTTCTGTGTTAAACAGCTCCAATTAGTATCCAGAAACATAATTTTAAATTTCAAAATAAAATTTAATAGCTGTGGGACCAATTAATTAGTCCAACCTTGAAGTCTTCGTATAAGATTATGCAAGGAACCAATCAACACATGTGTGAGAGCCTGAGAGGTAGCTAAAAAGCCAGCAAGATTATGTAGCTGAGCACAAATGCATACACAACAACATGAACTCGATCACAATCACGCAGTAAAGCTTTGCAAATTGATAAGAAAAACATCACAACTCAGGAGGTTGCACTTGCGTAAATGATCGGAAGCAATTATATCATGTTACACAACCATAAGAAATTAGGGACAACAACCAAACCAACATGTTTTTCAAATAAAGTATTTATATCACGTTTCACCAAAATCATGCTAAAATATCATGTTTTTTTTTGCTTTTAAAAGACATAAATTGTGTCCTTTTAACAATCTATAACTACGTATTAAGAATAGTATATAATTATAATATTAAAGTTATATTTTTTTTTCATTTTTCACTTTAGGAAAGAGAAAAAAATACAACTTTAAAATTATAACTATATGTACTACTCTTAGTACATAGTTATAATTTGCTTAAAAGACTTAATTTGTGTCTTTTAAAATGACAAATGATTTCCCATAATATAAACCAAAATTCTTTATTTCCATCCTAAAAATAATGCCAAAAACATTTGCATAAAAATCTAATTAAGCACATATTAGTTAATTTATATCCATATAGTTGCACTTAGCCAACTAATAAAGGGCAAATATCAAGCCATTCCTTGAAGTCACCAATTCACAGAAGCCAAAGTCCTATCAAGAATGCACCCTAAGTCCCTAATGAAATTACGAAAGCAGAGTCCTGTTAATAAACTCAAAGCTTCAATATTTTGTACAAAAAATCTCACAATTTCCTTGTATAAGTTCATCATCTAAATTCTTTCCTAGACATTTCTAACACTCCGTGTATACCCGGTTTGTTATTATATCATCGTGTTAAGCTGCGCTTAATTAAAATGCGGAAATAACTTTTTCTTTTCAATCATGACGTCATTAGCAGTTACCAAGTTGATTACTTAATCCTTTTTCAAAATAATGCATGTATGTAAATTGCAATAAAGCTAAATACACTGAATAACCTCAATATATAAATAATTGTGAGTATCTAAGTCACGGAACTACAACACGTAGTCTGGACCATAATCTTGATACAATTATACAACCCAATACTAAAATAAAACAGAGTCAATCAATGTGGCATGGACAGCCCCCATGCTCACCAAATAAGGCAACAAGCCCAACAAAGTCTCAACAATAACAACAAAAACATAAGGATAGAACATGTCAGCATCCAAACATAACAGTAATAACAGCAAGCATATCACATCAGCTCCGACCTCCTGCCACCCGAGGTCTCAACCCCCGAGTTACCTGAACCTGAAATATGTGCCCAAAACATGGGGTGAGATCTCTAAACAGAAATCTCAGTAAGACAAGGGGTCCTCAAGGATCTTCCACCCCAAGCTCACTTACATGTGCAATATAAGTTCTAAAAACTGTGAAACAATATAAGTTCCAAAATCAGTGCAATGCAGCAGAATAATCATGTCATGTGTGTCAACTATTCTACTGGCCAGAGAAATGCAGGATTTACATACGTTTATTACCTACAATCAGTGCAAGTCACTACTTGCACCCACCCATATAATCACCCTATGGTATGTCTCCTACATACACAAGCTTACCGTCTAGGTGGAACAACACATGCATATTATAAGCACTTGCACAAAATAGCTCAACAACATTTCAAAATCAATAGATGAAAACACATCATGCATATAAACCATTCCTCCATGGGGTATGGTGGAACCAACAATGGCTAAGCCGAGGACACGAAAGCTTACCTCGCAAGCTAACTATCCAACCAAGAGTCCAACCAAGTCCAAGGTCCACAAATAGCACTCTCACAGTTTGTTTATACCAACAATCATATCAACAATCATAATCTACAAGCATATGATATAAAGACAACGCTTTCCTTTTACATTTCATGTCTTTAGGCTTCTCACAAAGCCATAAGCCCTTAATCCCATTGATTCTGACTTAGATTAATTATTACAGAGGTTGACTTAACCAATTATGGGTCCACAAACCCATGATACAGTTCTGTCTGAACATAATTGTCACTGTCTCGAAATTCCCAGAATATCCGGATATTTGTCGGGGCCATATTCGGATATCAATATCCAGATATTTCCAACCCCATATCCGGATACCAATCTGGATATCAATATCCGGATATCATATCCGGATATTTCGCGACAGAATGCAGTTTCTGCATTTCACGAGATATCACTCCCAAGGTTACATTTTTAACACTTTAATACGTCCAAGCATGCATATTTAAGCCCCTTTAGCCCAGTTATCATGTTGGTTACTTGTTCATTTTATTAAACATGCCAAGGTTTCATTTTTAACTAAGGAGACTCATGATCAAGGTTGGGAAAGTTTACCAAGCTCTTAAAACAGAAGAAAGACAATGGCTTGGAGCTTCCAATGCCACTCCACAGTGCTGCCAACGAAGAGCCACGAAAATGAGCAATCAAAATGGCTCCTTGCTTCACAAAATGGTTTCTTGGAGTCACAAACACTAAGTAAAAGACTCCCACCACACAAACCCAAGAAGTCAGCATACCCACTCTCCCAAACAGAAGATATAACTCAACAAAAACAAGCCTTTCAAACCCCCAATGCTAACACACCCCAAGACATGGTGTTTTGTGAAGAAACAATGATCAAAGATGATCAATTTGGAGCTTCTATGGAGAAAGAGGTCAAGAAATGGTGAAGAAAAGACTCAGCAGCCCAAGAGGTCAGAAATCTCACGAATAAGGCACAAGGAATTAACCTAGGATAATGTGTTACCCCTTATATAGCCCACTTAAGTTATAATCGCATTGTATTAGCGCTAATAGTTACGCTTAGTATTTTAGTCCCAAACTTTGGATTCTGAACCTAACCATTTTTCTAAGATTTGATATATTTTTATTTTATTTTTCGCAGCACTTTTCCGGTACGCGCTTTTACGTAGCCAGTATCAGTTCTGGAACCAGTTCTCATTATTTTGACTCCAAATTTGTTATACAAGTCGTATATATTATTCTAGTAATATATACACACTTTTTCATAATTTTTTGGAATACTTCATCGGTACGCATTTATATCGTGAGGCAGAATCGGTATTTGTATTTTTCGTCAGAAAAACGACTTTTAACATTATTAATCACTTACCATAATTATTTAAGCATTCTCATAATTATTAGGGTCAATTATGAAATTATCTCATTAATCTCATAATTAATTTATTAAATTTCTAAATTAACGGTGCGAGTTGATAGCAACCCCGTAGTCACCAAGAAGGTGGCATAAGTACGGGTACGAGGTTTATATGAATAGACAGTTCGTCACTTTTTGCATTATTATTACATGATTTTCTTTAAAGAATTTAATACCCATTGCATAGAGTTGTTGAGAGAATTCAATAACTATGAACAAGCCACAAAATAAAATATGTTGGATGACAGAGCAAAATTGTTCAAATACATCCAAAGCAAGGTAGCTTCTTGTCTTAATACTTACATTTCAAGAGCCGGTTTTTGACTAAATGGATATCACACCTAGGAACTTATGTTCAATAATTGATTTTGTGTGTGCTTAAATTATAAAAATCCAATGTAGTTTTTTTTTTTCTTTTTCATGTTTACAACTCATGCATTTTCAGAGTAATATAATAATAAGTCAATGGTATGATTTTGTATAGTCTAAGGTATATTGCTAAGGCTTGATTATCAATGAGTTGTTCACAATGTATGCTTTTCTTATGTACATCATATATGACTGAAAACAATGAACTAAGAACGTTTCTCTGTTGCCTATCATATTGAATAAGGGAGAGATGATATTTATAACTTATTTTCCTTACAACATTTTACAATTACTTTTAGAGTTGTTAGATTAAAATCAAATCGACGATTTTTATTTATTGCTATTTTGTAATCATTGATTTGATTTTGATTCAACAACCATAAAAATGATTGTAAAAGAAAAAATGTATTAAATATAACTTCTCTCGTTGAATAAATAATGATAAAAAAATTCATTAAAGGAGATGGCTTGCACTACTGCCCAAAAAATTGAATTTCAAAATGTCATAGATCAGAATTAAGAAGCCGATTTTCCTCATCATTTACATTCTCTTGCTCTGTTGTTCTTTGAGCTAGCTCCACTGCTCTCTTAGATTGTTGCCCCCAATCTGTTTGAATCAGTGTGTACACCATCATAACAAAACAAGAAACCTGTGCTGCTAACATTCCAGACCATAAACCCACCAATTCATATTTGTATATGAAGGTAGCAAAAATAGAAACTGGCAACCCAATTAGGTAAAATGCACACAAATTTATTCTAGCACCTACATAAGGACGAGCAGTCCCTGATAAAATCCCACATGAAACTGTTTGAGTCCAATTGCTAATTTCACATAAACCCAAAATTGGAATAATAGTTGTGACCATATCAATAATTTGTGTCTCATCAGTGAAAATCTTTCCCAAGGTTTTCTTCTCAGACATCAACAAAGTGAAGGCTGAGATCCCAAGTGTAAATGCTATGAACAAACCAATTATGGCTGTAGTTTGGGCACGTGAGGGTTGTCCTGCACCTAATGAATGACCAATTCTTGTTGTCAAGGCAACACTTAGTGAAAATGGGAACACATACAAGAAACTAAGTGTTTGAATAAGGATCCCCATGGTGGCAACTGTGGTTTGTGGATTATTTAATAAACCACAAAGAAAGAGCATTATCTCATACCACCACCACTCCAAGCACACTGAAATGCAACTAGGCAATGCAAGACTTAGCAATGGTATCCACCCATGGAAGGCTGAGAGAATTGAAGCTCCTTGCCAAGGTTTTAGTGGTTTCTTTGAGAAAATAATATAAAGCAACAAACCTAAAATCATGTTTATTGAATTCAAACCAGTAGCTAATGCAATACCCTTTACCCCTAAATTCAAATATATAGCCAAGAAATAATTGATGGGAAGGTGTAATAGGGCTGCACAAGATGCGGCTATAGTTATTGGGGTGGTTAAGCCTTGGGTTCTTAAGAAAGTCCTCAATGGATGAAGATGAGCTTGAGCTAGCAACTCTGGAATAGAGAAGACCATGTAAACTTTAGCAACTTTGGTGACTTCAGGGTCTTGACCTAGCATTTGAAGGATGGGCTCCATATTTAGCCATAAAAGTGATATGGGTATGGTAACAACTAGGAGGAGACATACAGTTCTGAAAAAGGTTTGGTTGAGAACTGACCATCTCTTGGCTCCATATGCTTGGCAACAAATTGGATCCATTCCCATAGTGAGGCCTTTGAGGACTGAATTAGCAGTAATGTTTGCAAAACCAAGTGCAAGTGAGCCTCCAGCTAGTTCTGCTTTCCCTTGGCGACCCAAAAACAGCATGGAGATAGCAGAACGAGAGTACAACATTAGGCTAGTCAGTATTATGGGACATGAAATCTTTGCAAGAGATTGAAACTCTTCTTTAACCTGCATGCAGTTGCATTTCACATTTGTCAACAAATGCAGTGCAATATATTAAGGTTCATATTTTACTATCAAACAATAAAAGGTCAAATAGTTGCACAACACTTTCCGAATTTTTGAGGGTACGGGTGAGGATTAAGAAGTCTTATTCTTGTATTTTTGGAATGATACTATTTTCCATATTCAAATTTTGAACCAATGTGACTAGCTCCATTTTTTTTCCAAGTAGGGACGCATAATATGATGTATATATTATCATTACAAATCAACCTCCAATTCCTAGTTTCCTAGTTTAAAAGAGAAATCTCATATACTATTTATTTATGTGATTATTGTTTCTTATATTGTAAGAGATAATTTTATCTCCTATACACACATAAAAGTGTGTGGGGCCTATGTTTTCTTTTCTCTCTCTTCTGAACTAGAAAAATATCAACACGCTCTCATCTAAATAAGGTCCATATTACCCTCTCCCCCATTAGCCCATTGTTGGGTTCCACAAGCAATGGACTAAGTCACACCAACCATTGCAAGTCGATTAGACACACATTAGGTTCATGGATCCAACCAACGTGAGATTTCCATCACATTTGAATATCTCAACAATTTCTCCCTCAAGTAAGCAACCTCGTACTAGTATGCTCCTCCTCAACGGAGCCCAATCCGACTCCAATACCACTTCGAGGAGGGCTAATGGGAGCTCATGACTAGAGACCACAATCAATGAACTAAGTCACACCAATCATTGCAAGTGGATCCAACACCATATCTCAACCCAAAATCTTAAGATATTAAGTTCATGGATCCTTTCACTTAGTATATTACTAACTAATACGAGACTTCATCAACACCCTCTTTTCTATTTAGTGAATAAACAGTTTTAGGATGGAGATCCTCTTTCCTCATTCACATTGTCTGCTGAACCAAACTAACACCTCTAAAATTCATAACTAATATCAATAGTTTAACATTGCTTAACCACAATCTCGCTTCTTCAATTCTCCTTTTTTTTATCCCTGTTTTCCACTTCTAATAATGTTTAATGAAATCATCTTTGAGTTATCTGAATTTGCTTAGAATGATATTAAAACTCTTACAACAGACTAATCAACATTAAGATTGAATGAAAGCTGAGTAGTGTGTTCTCCTTTGAGCATATAATAAACCTTCAATAATCTAAAGTACCTCAGTGATAACCACCAAGCAATTTACAAAATTATGAGACAAATAATAATAATAGTAATAATAATAACTTAAATGTTCTTAAGCAGATATGTTAGGAGAACCATTCTCTTTGGAACCATAAGGTCGGAGGGGAGGAGGCGGAGAACCAAGAACTGAGCGTCGTTGTCCATTGGAATTACCTTGATGATTAGCATAATTGGTACAACAGACATTTTTATGACTCAATCAATACTCCAACAGTGTCCATTTCGAAGTTACTTTATCAATATTTTATAACTTTTATTTATAATTTTTCAATAAAATTGAGCTTATGATTATTTTTTATTAGATCAAGTGCATGATATAGCTAGCTTAGAAATATTTGGTTGTCCTTTTTTTCCCTTACATGGATTGCCTTCATTTTGTGTACAGCCAAAAATAAAGCCATTAGTCTTGAAGAATAAGGAATTTCCATTAAACCAACTTGAAAATATAAAACCACTGCAATGAAATAGGGTTGGTTTGCTTACTAAGCAAAAGAATCATTTCAACCAAAAATAATTAAATTTTACCATATTAATAATTTTATATTATATTTTTATAATATGTGTTTTCTCACAAGAATGTGTTATCACACAAGAGTTCAATTAACTTGAAAGATAGAGAGCGGTGAGGATACGGACCACTTAGTCACGAGGATCTGATATTATGCAAAAAAAATTATTTTAACCCAAAAATTTAAAATTTAAAGTGAATATCACAATAATAAATTTATATTATATTTATCTCACACACTATTTTAACCCAAAAAAAAGATGTTTGGCTAAGCTATCTTGAAAGGAGAAGACGGAGAGGAAACAGGACCAATATACTTGGAGAATAATTGACTGAGGGTAGCTAGCTAGGTTGGTATTGTGAACTGTTCAATTCATTCATGTTCTAAAGAAGAAAAGCTTAGTCAAGTTGTGAAAAAGAAAATCTACTGCCATAACTTTGTAGGTGCATAAAATATGCTAGTAACATATATTAATGTTGTAATAAGAAAAAGGAGAAAAAAAAATGAAAGTAAAAAACAGTGTGATAGTAATAATGTAAAGTTGCTGCCAGATCTCTCAGATATAGGCTCTAGTTTAGGACAAGCGAAAAACAGAAATTGCTGTAGTTGCATATGAGCATGTTATACAATTAGGCTATAAGACAAGGTTCTGCATCTTCTGCGTAGTTTTGTTAAAGAAATGAGGTTATAAGCTTTATAGACAGTTTTGAAAATCACGATCATATTTGTAAATTGATTATAACACCAAAAACAAGATATTCAAGGATTATGTGTCACGATATTATTAGCACCATGTACGACGAGTATCTTCAATTTTCCAGTCGAGACCGAATTTGATGCATGGTTATTATGAATGTCACTACACGCACGCGCACAATTTAATAATAAGAATAATAGCTATTAAAAGTACACTGCTGACTCAGCAATCACACGACAATGAAATGTGCCAGATATGGTGAAAAGATAGGAAAACAGATTCATGGGCATGTCTGCCATTTTTAATTTGAAAATGATACAAGAATTCAAGAGTGCCGTAGAATGACACATAGATTACGAATGTATTAAGTAAAGAAAGTGAACAATTCATGAATATGTTAGTTTTATTCATTGTTATGGGTTTTATTAATCTCATTTTACATAAGATAATTATTTTATGTTGTAGAGAGAAAATGGATGGGTCCCACTATTGTAAGAAAAAAGAAAAAAAAGAAAAAAGGTGGGGTGCAGAAATCGAAGTGAGAGAAAATGAGATAAAATGTCTATGTGAAATGAAAGTAATATTTCCCAATTATTATTGGTGTAAAGGAACCATGCCGTACGACTTAGCCACAAATATTATTATTTTCATTATAACCCTTTCATTATAAGTTATTAAGCAATGGCCATATATGTGCTTTAATTTTTTCCACAACTGGATTATTCTACTAATTAAGCAAGCAATTTATATCTGGATATAATAGTTGGATGACTTATTTAAAAAATGGGTTTAGTATTGATAATAACACATTCAGAAATGATGACAATATACTCTGTTGACACTTTTTTAACTATTATTTTTTAGGTACAGGATATTATATGCCTATCTTTTTCTTATACTTATTTTATTTATTTTCTTTAATACTATTATATTATAATTTCAAAATATGAAGAATTAATTAAAATTATGATTTAACGGTATTAAAAAAAGAGTAAAGTAAGTATAAAAAAATAGACATAATATCGTATGTCTATCTTTTGTTAGTAAGTAAAATCTTATACGAACTCACTAATAATGATGAGCTCAGATTATTTAATAGTAGAGTTAACATATGATAGTTTACCAAAAAATAAAAAATAAAAAATTAACATATGATTTTAATCAATAATAAAGAGAATATAAAAAAAATATTACTATCATTCATTAAAAAGTATCAGTATTGAGAATAACGGAGTGATGTGTGTTTAATATAAATGGATGTTATATTTACAAACTTTTTGTTTACAAATTCTTACAAATTATATTATGTTTGACCTGTCATATTTTAATCAAGAGTGTATGATCTGTCAGACTTAGTGTAATTTGTAAAAAAAGTTTGTAAACAGATCTTTCTCTTAATATATATACTAAAAATGAAATTAAATAAAGAAATGCTCAAAATACTCTTCACGAAAAAAGTTGAATTAATATATTGTAACTAATATTTCCTTATTTATGTCATTAATTGATAATATTTTCTTTTAATGTTACATAATTTATTTTATGAAATTTAAATATTTTGATCTACATCTAAATTTTAAAAATATTTTTAAATATATAAATTAAAAAAAATTAAATTATTTTCTCAATAGTAACCTTAATTAATAATTACTTTGATTTGTAACTTAGAGGGATTATGGCTCGAATAATTATTATTTTTTAAAAAGGCTAATTTTATAACATTTTTTAGATACTGGACTAAAACTGCGTCCTATTACTATAAAAAGCCAAAAGCCCGAAGCCCCAAACCAATAAAACAAATACTAACTCCTAAAAATTAAATATTGATAGTTTCTTATAATTTCCTTCCATACATTTAAGGACACGAGTTTATTCCTTAAATTCTATTGATTATGAGGTTTTCAAATATTTATACCTTCGACCTTTTAAACAAAAAGGAGCTAAAAAAACAGCAAGACATTGAAGAAACTCAGCAGTTTGCATAACCAAAACACATTCAGAGAGAGAGAGAGAGAGAGAGAGAGAGAGAGAGAGATAAGTTACAAACCTCAGAGACAGAAAGACTAGGAAGAAAGGCAGTGAAGAAACAATGTAGGCGTTGAAGAAGGCCTTGAATGAATGTGCCACAGCTGCAAGCTCTTTCCACACCTTCTATGGTTCTCATTCTGTCCTCATGGTAGTTTCCTTCTACCTTTGATACATGGTCAGCATTTATAGTTCCTCGAGATTCAGTACCAGTGCACATGTTTATCCTAAGGCTTTTGCAAACGGGATAGACAAAGAACCTTATAAAAAACAAAAGAAAGTACAAAACAAAATCAATTTCATAGATGGATATGTTGTCCACTTATTTAAAACCATAGGGAATGCAACAAAACAAAAGAAAAAACATCAATCCTTCCCATCCCCCAAGAGAGCAAAGGGAAAAAAGAATTAAAGATCTTGAAAGTGATGAAAAAAGGAAATAAAATCAACTTGGTTTTTGAATGATTGAATGCATAAAGTAAAGAAGAGTTTTCATTAGTCACTGAGATATTATAAATAAAAGCTTAACTAAAAAATAAATAAACAAAGAAACCGTGGTATCACAAGAAAGATGTGTACGTACGGATACTGAAGGATGTCTCGTTAAGCTTTGCAACTCTCCTTGGCAATGGCGCATATGAAGTGTAACTGTAAAAGAAGATGGGTACTATGCAGAGGCGTTTTGGGACTTGAAAACAGTTGAAGCACACAAAACTCTTTCCAACTTGATTAATCACATTCCCTAAACCATTGTGTTTACTTTATACTTGTACCTAATTTTGTAATTCCTTAAAATAATAGCCATTGCTACCCCCACTCTACTTTTATTGTTTGCTTCATCCATTTTTTTTTTCTTAATAACAATTTAGTGTTAATCCCGTGAAAAGAAATATACATGTAAAGTGATGAAAGAGAAAGACTTAACAAAATAAAATACGATTTCTTTTTCCGTTTCATTTAAAATTTATGTTCCATAGATAATTCTTAAACGTTTTAAATGACGACATGTCAATAAAGTTAAATAGAATATTCATAGAAATAATAATACTTGTACGTAAATATATTTTTTATATGTAAGTTTTACATTTTTGGTACAATGAAGGAGTCATCATAACGAGAACTTATGAACTTTAGTCACATTCTCTTCTACCTCAATTACTTGAACCCAACTCACACATAAACTATTTTTTAAAACAAAAGGCAACTCTTAAAATTTGTGCTTCAATTGAAAGTGATTGAAAAAAAGTTGAAAAACGACTGCAATATAAAACATGAGAAGTTTAAAAAAAGATGTATTTATGTGCTAGTCAGTCAGTTGAGTTTATGGTGGGGAAATATTTATTAATGGATTAAGTGATAATCTATCATGATAAGTAGGGTGACAATCTCAAATCATAATAATTAAATTTGACATCATGAGTTTATGAATTATTTTAGCTATATGGTCTTCACTTAGTGCATTTTTAGCAAATATGAGACTTTGCTTACGCTTGAATTTGTAAGGACCAAAGCAATTATACAATAATCGAAAGTAAAGAAAGAAGCCAGAGAGAAAAGCATGAAACACAGTTTACCCTATTTCAACCAAGTGTAAGGCTACATCCAGTAATATGTTTCACTATATTCTCCTCACCACATGCATTATAAGCACTTTATTAATTACAAGATAATGTAAATAAGCTCTAGCAATTGTTCATAGGCCCAAGCCTAAATTACTAAAAAAAAATTGTAAAGAAACTCGAGGCCTTAAAGCAGTAAAAGGCCTCTACAAGCAAAGGGACATGAGTGAACTAGATGTAATGTATCAGTCATACACAACAGAATTTTCAAGACTCTCTCCATCAAATGTAAGACCTAATATTATTATTCTCCACCCTAAGGGGGCGTTTGTAAGAAGAAATTTTTTTGATTCTCGGGAAACTGACGTTGGTAATCCCATTTATCCACGTTTGGTATAGGGATTCTGAAAATTTTTCCAGAAAAATCAGATTCCTGATATTCCAATTTGTGAAGAAAAATCCCACGTTAAAATACCACCAGGTGGGTGGTATTTTCGGATTCCCACCTGGTGGGAATATTTTTGAAACTTTTCTAGACAAAATTACCTTATCTTGTTGCAGCGGTTACGTTCACACCTGACGAAAACAAAGTGCTTCTCTTTTATGAATCTTCATTGTTAAAGGCATCACTAGGATGATGATCGCTCCAGAACTGAATCGCAGAGTCTCTTAACTCTTTGTCTCGTTCATTTCCGAACCTCGAGCTTTCAGAACACAGAACAATGTTGCTAATTAAGTTAATTAAATCTCTGAAATTCTGCAGAAGCAGAACCGATTTTCTCAATTTCAAAATTGAAATGATGGATAACTTTGCAGTAGTTGACTACAAAGTTGGAACAAAAAAATTAAGCAAAGTGAGAAAGATAAAAGTTGAAAAAAAATGTAGCGATGGTCGGAGCATCCGAACTCCAGGGTGCAGTTGAATTTTTCGACGAATCTGGCGCCAGCGACGAGGGGAAATTGAAAGGAGAAGCTTGCTTGTTAGTTTATAAGTGCAGCGGCGGGCGAAGAGAGGATAAAGAGCACAATGAGAAGGCGTTGGACTAAAGGCAACAAAGAAAGAAAATGCCACTAGTTAATTGTACTCCCAAAGGTTAATTATGTAAAATCAACCCACATTCCTATCAATCATTGACAATCAACCAATCATGGAATCAGGAAACTTGGGCCAATATTCCTGGAAATATTTTGGCCTACCAAATAGCTTTTTTAACATTCATGGGAAATTTATTTTTCTAGCATATTGTTGGGAATCATGATTCCCAGGAATAGAAATTTTCTCTTATACCAAATGCCCCATACATGGAAGCTTATTTTAAGAGTGTTTATTGGGCTACCAACTAAGAGTTACATCTTCACTCTACAACATGGGTTTGGCATGCAAGACAAAACCAAACACCAACCACTATCTCTAATACTAAATCTAGCGAAACATATGGTTAACCTGACTAAAGTATTAGCTCTGATATCATTGTCAGGCAATCAAGTGAACCTTTGGCTAGGAGACATTCATCAATGAGTTAAGCGACAATCCACCATAATAAGTAAACTCAACATCACATCTTAACCTAAAATTTTAAGACAATAAATTTATTGGTCCTTTCTCTTATATATTTCTTATTTAATCCTTTAATTGATGTCTATCTTGCCATAGTCTTTGATATGCCTCCAGCATATAATGTTTTAAAGGCTAAAAAGAACAAAGATTCAATCTAAATTGAGTGAAATAAACAGATAATTGTGATCAAGATTGCTAATCCACTCTCAAGTTATTCTCATTGAAAATCTTGTGTTTTGTAGGAAAATTACATTGAAAAGAGAGCAATTCATAAGAGCAAAATAAAGGAAGTTCTAGTTTAGTCGCGCTATCAGCGTTAAGATGGAGTTGAGAGCGCCAAAGGATCACAAGCCTTATGTTTCACTGCGCTTCTAGCGCGGTATTGGTGTTAGAAGCGCCAAAATATGATGAAGTCATTGTTTGTTCGCGCTAGTAGCACTTGACTGGTGCCAGAAGCACTAGTAACTCGAAAACAACCTCGCCAATAGCGCGATATTTGCGCTACCAGCACCAACACCACGTGACTGCATTTCATGAAGATATCCATACAAGACTCAACCTTTAACCCATTTTAACGTCCAAGCATACATTTTTAAGCCCCTTTAGGTCAGTGATCACTTTTGTTACTTGTTCATCTTATAAACATGCCAAGTGTTTATTTTTAACTAAGGAAACTCATGATCAAAGGTGATGAACTTACCCAAAGCTTCAAAACAGAAAAGAAGGGTGCTCTTGGAGCTCTCAAGTCAGCTCCAAGGTGCTGACTCCAAGGGTACTCGAAATGCAACTTCAAGATAGGTCCTTTCACACCAAAGGTAGCTTCTTGAAGCTCAAAATGTCATGACAATGGCCCCTCCAACAACACTCAAGAACACAGCCTCTCATTACCCTCCACACAGAACCAACACTAAAAAACGATGCAACTTCCCCACTCACAACGCTAGTTTACACTAATCCAATGTGTTTTGGTGAGGATTTCTTGAAGAAAAATGGCCACTTGGCTCATAAGATGAAAGAAAAAAGGGTGGCAATATAAGTTACCTGAACCTGAAATATGTGCCCCAAACGTGGGATGAGATCTCTAAACAGAAATCTCAGTAAGGCAAGTGGTCCTCAAGGATTTCTCCACCCCAAGCTCACTTACATGTGCAATATAAGTTCCAAAAACAGTAATATAATATAAGATCCAAAACTAGTGCAATGCAGCAGAATAATCATGTCATGTGTGTCATCTATTCCACTGGTCAGAGAAATGCAGGATTTACATACGTCTATTACCTACATTCAGTGCAAGTCAATACTTACACCCACCCACAAAATCACCCAATGGCATGTCTACTACATACACAGGCTTACCGTCTAGGTGGAACAACACATGCATATTATAAGCACTTGCACATAACAACTCAACAACATTTCCAAAATCAATACATGAAAACACATCATGCATATAAACCATCCCCCCATGGGGTATGGTGGAACCGACAATAGCTAAACCGAGGACACAAAAGCTTACCTCTAAGCAATCAATCCAATCCAAGGTCCATACCCGCTCAAAGTCCACACACAGCATAATCACAATCTGTTTGGACCAATAATCATATCAATATTCATACTCTACAAGCATATGACATAAAGACAACGCCTTCCTTTTACGTTTCATGTCTTTAGGCTTCTCACAAAGCCATAAGCCTTTAATCCCTTTGATTGTGACTTAGATTAATTATTACAGAAGTCCACATTAGCCAATCATGGGTCCACAAACCCAAAATATCATTATGTATGAACAGTACAGTTACTGTCTCGAAATTCCCAGAATATCCCGATATATGTCGAGGCCATATCTGGATATGCATATCCGGATATCCATATTCGGATATCACAAGGCCCATATCCAGATATCAATATCTAGATATCATATCCGGATATTTCGCGACAGAATGCAGTTTCTGCATTTCGTGAAGATATCCATACAAGACTCAACCTTTAACCCATTTTAACGTCCAAGCATGCATTTTTAAGCCCCTTTAGGTCAGTGATCACGTTGGTTACTTGTTCATCTTATAAACATGCCAAGGCTTTATTTTTAACTACGGAAACTCA